AGTAAGATTAGTAGACCACTGAACTTCCACTGAAGTAAGGCTGAGTAAACATAATGTAATGGGATATTAGCACCTTATAGCCAACAAACCGGCAGAAGAGGCTGATAGCGAAGACATGACTCTGAGTGAACATAGACAAGACGGAGATGGTGAAGATACCCACATACTAACAACAACTAGCACCAATCACCATCAACGGAAGAGATTTGACAGGCGTTATCTAGGAAGCATCGTTTCCATTACAAGCGATAGCAAAAATTAGGATGACAAAGCCAGCCAGGATCGGAAAGGCAAGGTACACATTCCTTACTCTAAAATCAGTTTGGAAATCTTCTGTACTCAGTCAGCATAAAAAACAAGACTCGTATTTTCAACACATATTTTGCGTTGGTCACTTCTTCTATATGAGTCGGAAACTTGGTATGTGCGTCACAAAGAGCATTACCAACAGATCATGGGTTGTTATGAAGAACTGTCTTCGCTGGTTCAGTAGCAAAGACCAAATGGCCAGAAAGAATTTGTAACAAGAAACTGTACAAAGAAATTGATCAAGAATCTATCATTCATGAAATATGCAGGATGAAATGGAGATGGATAAGGCACACGCCGGGGAGACCATCGAATTACATAGCACGCAATGTAGACCATCACACGAGTGGAACATGAATGAGGAACGACAAGTATGTAGTCCGATGGTGACATGAAGGAGATGGTGTGAGGAGGAGATTATAGATTATAAGCGACGGTGCACCCAACTAAAGAGGATAGCAGAAAATAGAAGAAAGTGGAGATGTGTAATTAAAGCCTTATGTTCCACTCGAAACCAAAGGGAACAATAATAATACAAGGAAGAGGAACCCAAATAACTCGAATTCTTCCAAATTAGGGCTTTCTAAAGCTTCAGCCTTCTGAGCAGAGACTCTTTGCCTAAATAAGTTACTTTTTCCAAACTTTCGTCTTTTTATGGTCTTAATTCATTTGTGTTAGATTTGGTAAAAATAAGCCAAATATGTAGAACAAACTCATCTGCTTTCTACGCATGACCACAGCACTAAAACATTCTGTCTAATCACTCTACTATTTATTTACAAATTTTCGACTTTATTAAGCCTCCAGTATAATACTTTGATTAACACTCGCTAATTTTAAAAACAATGCATTTACTCAACTAGTTAGAACATACAATTAAAAGAAGAATTATCAAACTCATTCACAATTTACGAAATAATTTGCGATTTGCAGACTGCACAATTTGGGATGAAAATTCACCACAGTTCCCTCTTTGGAGACCAAAATCATCCAAATCACAAACGATTACCAGGGGATTCTTAGTCAATTCACCATATGACCTAATGCCTTTGGCCTCAGACGAGCAAAGTGGTCGTCATGTGTTTAGGTCACCCTTTTCTCGCCAGGAAATACTACTGACTGATGTAAGCGACATAAAACTACTGAAATCAAATTAATCAGTAGTATGGCATGGTGCATATACGCTCGCTTTCTCGATCGCCATTTATATCACCCCCTGCAGGGGTTCAAACTCGGGTCCTTCCGGATACAAGGCCAGTTCGTATACTATTCAGCCTTGTAACCTGAAGTTCCTGTGTTCGAACTTAGGTTGTGAATGCGCATTGTTTACGATTCCCAAACTAGGTTGACGAAACAGATGTCCTTTACTCCCCGCTGGTTTTCAATGGTTCTCTTACTGATATCCATCCGCGGTTAAATTAGAAAACTAAATATTATTGTTTTAGATACTTTGATATCGAATTCTGTATTTGAAAAAAGGCTGGTGCTTTTATTTGAACTGCGTTTCATTCTTGCTGACCATAAATGTTGATTGACAGGCATATCTAGGCAAATATGATTGGTAATATGAGGAAGTGGGTTACAGAGTTAAATATATACATGCTTGTCTGTCTGAATTATCTCACAAAACATGCTAAGTCTTTAGTTGTATCCTTGTAGAGCTTAATTAAACTTAGGTATTCAGTGTAACCACAGTTTTGCTGTTATTTTCAACTATTTTCGCTCACGCATCAATAATAAACATGAAAATCCCTGTCGTAGTCTGAGATTAGTCTTTTTTTGTTCTATTGCGTTAATTTTGGGGAGAAAAAGAGTTTCATGATTTCATACGGAATAGTGTTTTTTAATAGTATTCAGTGTTACGTAGATCAATGACTCGTTCTACTGCGATACTGTCTGCTGTTCTACTTGTTTTCGAATAGATATGTACATATTTGCATGTATAGGTAATTGAAAATACCGAAAAATTGTTTCTTTCTTAAGGCATGACATGCGATAACAGTTGTATTCAACGTCAGATGTATGATATACGTATAGGTAAACATTTTACTGAGGTTTTGACATTTCAGGGCTAGTTACAATAAAGAATACTCCGGTATCCAGTTGTCATAGTGGTTGTAATTGAATTCCTAGTTGAATGATAAGTAATCAGACAGTACCCAATCAAAAGCGCCTTCTCACCGACATTTCAACCTGGTGTCAACACAATATATAATGTTGAAACTGAGCTTAGGTTCATTTGTTAACTGAATTGTTATGAATTACTGCAGTGCGCATGAGAATATTTACGCATTTGTTAAAATGGTTGGACTATCTCCTGATATGACCACTCGTGTGGGGTTTGTTTTCGAAGTATTGATAATAATGACAACAGCTTATTATGCACAATAGGTTTACGCAATATGCACAATATTTACTTTTCATCCAGGAGTTTCAAGGAAAACAGCTATCTCCAGTACACCATGTGACGCAGTGATGTTAGAGCTGAAGTGAGCAACAGCAGGTTAAGAACCAATTTTAAAAAAACATACATGAGTACATTTGGCGAGTTAAGGACATAAGTGAATGATTAGAACAACAAGAACTAGATAAAATAAGATGCAAATTGTCTTGGTTGGAAATTCAGGTAGCCCAGAGATTTAAGTAGGCCGCCAATGTGATTTGAAATACTCTTCTAGCATGAAGGGGTGAACTTATGTGAACTTATCCTTTAGATAAAAGGATGACACGCATTAGCGGTTCAGTAGTGGAATGTCAACCGATAGCACGGCACTTCTATTCCCAAATGACACACCATGAAATCTCGTCAGATTTACTATCCGACAGCAGGCGTGAAAATTGGGTTTGTTGCTAGTGATCCTACCTAGAAAAATTAACACCACAGGTACTTAAACCTCAGAGATTGAAGTCTTATATTCTGCTGAAAGCGCCTGACGCTACCATTCCCTACTGCGCGCTTTGATTCTGATTTTACACAATATTTGTTAATTGTCAGGTAGTATTGAAATTCTAGTCTGTGTTTACATTTACTCATCCATTAATAGTGAAAAGACTCATGTTATTGCCTCAAATGCGAAGTGTGCCTTTCAGTGCTGAGTTAAGAGAATGTTTATCGCGATATTCACGTCATGAATAGCTGACTAGATACTTGTCAGACACTTGGCACTTTCGGTATTCATCCTTCAGAAAGAGGTGATGTCAAATTAGAAATATCGACACAGTTTTAGCCCTACAGGGAAAGGTTTATTTAAGGAATGCAGAGGAGATCTCATCAAAACTTTGTTACATATTTTCAATATTTTTGTGAAGTTATATTAATGTAGAATATGGTAACTTCATATGATTGGACACTAATATCATGTGTCTAGTCCTTTGTTTATTGCAGAATGTTGACACGTGGTGTATAGGGTATGTGGAAAGCAATCGACTGTAGCAAGATGTTAGCTGTTTGGTCAGTTGGCTTCATTCTAACGGAAGTAATGCAAAACGAATGTTGACTGAGTGATGCCTGATTAAACTGTGTTTGCCAGATGGATCAGTTAGCAATCTTATTATATAACCCTTAGGTCATTAACTGAGTGGCATAGTGGTACAGTGTTTGCCGACCACGCATCTGGTCCAGGATTCCAGTCCCGGCCGATGCACTCCTTCACCTCGCTGAGCCAGTAATGAGACTAGCAGAGAGGGAAGGTTGAGCATGAGGCTAGCAGCCCCATCCCGTAAAAATAAACACCACTGCTACCAAAAATTCCAGCCTCTAGCTTGAAGCAGGCATATGTTTAGCTGCGAACGTACAGGAATAAAATAAATAATGAATAAAATAATAATTAACTGAAAGTTTACGCAGTATCTTTAGCAATGAAAGATATTATGACACTTATTTTGACATTTAGTAAGTCATATTATTTTGGGGTCCTACATTATATGAAATTCTGATCTGAGAAAGAAAAATTCTTCGCACTGAAGTGATTGGATTGAGTATTAAAGACCTTTCTGCAGACACATTCACTACTAAAGGCAATAATGTGGTTGAAACTCTTAAAAACCTGACTATACAGAATGTTGTGGAAAACAGTTTTCCTTATGAGGCTTAGATTCCTTTTCTTTGATTCGTGTATATGCAGCACATAGCATTTACCTTCGTAAATGTATTCAAGGATATGCACTTCGTCCTTTTTCAGGTTTGTCAGTTCAGTAAACCTGCATTCTCAATGACTGATGACATTCTCCCCGAGACTCAAACAGTCAACCCATTGTTTCAAATGAAGGGTTCAAGATTCGGAGAGAACAGGATCACTCATTAGGAATGCAGGCATATCCAGTTGACGAATTCGAAATATGACTGCCATCAAGCAAAATAAGTTCACGTTAACTCTTAGACATAATCGAAGCATTAGTACTAGTAGCTGACATGTCAACAGTCACTGGACATTTCACTCCAAAGCAATCAGTCAACTGGAAAATACAAATTAACCTAAGAGAAAAAAACCATCAACAAATAAAACACTTTCATTCGTCTAATTAACACTTATATAATTATACTACTTATATTTATTTCTTGTAGGTATTATTCTCATTGGTTAATAATTGTTATCATAGCCACAAATGATTGGTTCAAGATTGTATCCAATGAAAATTCATCCGTGTCAAGTTGATGACAGCTAATGCTTTATTTTTTTTCTCGGCCGGTTGACAGTTTAATTTAACCGCTTCTCCGCTAATGAATATTTCATAAATATATATATGTATACTGAGTAGAAACAAATTACCATTGTGATCAGGAGAGACACCTGCCTGCTTGCATTCTTTCTTTCATGTGGATTATTTTCCTTGACACAGAGAAATGAGAACAATCAGAACTATGTTCGTCATTATTATTATCAGTACACATTATGACATCATATTACATAAATAGTGATTCATTTTCATTGAAGGTATGCTTAATATCTGTCTATCTGAATGGAGTTCATATCACATCAATTATCATATCCACTTAGTCCTGATTGTCTGCTGTATAAATCTGATTGAATCACGAACAATTCGTTATCAAATTGATGAAGAACTTAAAATCAATACACCGATCGGGAATTTATTGAGTAATATACAAAGTGGAGTACAAAATTTACGCTTTATAAAAATATCTAATACCGACGACTCTTCAGCGTTATTTACTGTGGACCAGTTCTCTGGTGATATAACAATTGCTCATAGATTAGATAGAGAACATTTATGCAGCCAGAGTGATCGAGTAAATAAACCTGACACTTATGAGAATCTGGTCACTGATTGGACATCGAATGTTATTACAACCGCGCAAAGTACAAAATGTGAATTATATTTTAGTGTGAATTGTTTAAATGTGACACCGATTAAAAATCTTGGGAATCAAAATAAAAGTAAAACACCGGTAAGTAATAAACTGGTAGCTATTTTCGATGTCATCGTGGAACTCAGGGATATTAATGATAACGGATGCAAATTTATGCCTGCAAGTGAACAGATCGTGAGAATACGTGAAGATTCACCTATTCGCGAAACACGACTACCACTGAATACCCCACATGATCCAGACGATGCAGTCTTAGGAAATACTGTTAAATCAGATCTTGTATGGATCCGTGATCAGTCTAAGAAGCTATCTCCGTTGGACAATCAGGATATAAATGCCACATTCAAACTACGCAGTCTTTCATCTTCCTATAATGAGAATATTAAACTGGAGTTGGAATTGATCAGTGAGTTGGATTATGAAAGTCGGCAAAATTATACATTTGAAATCGTCGCTGATGATGGCTTTCCATCAGGTGGACATCAGTGTTACCTGAATGTGACTGTACTCGTCGAAGACTGTAACGACCATATGCCAGTGTTCGATCAGTCCACGTATGTTGCGAATGTTAGCGAAGACACGATCATTGGCCAGACGATTGTAAAGATTAAAGCGAATGATGCAGACGACGGGGAAAATGGAAGAGTTCTGTACAGCCTTGATTCATATACGGATAACACTGATGACGGCAGTCTTTTCTATATTCATGAAGACACCGGTGAAATAAGGCTTCAGCGGCGTTTAAATCATCGACTGAAGCCTCAACATGTATTGAAAGTATTTGCTAAGAATCCTGACCATACTCTATCAAGAAATATGAAATCTTTACAAACTCAATCCAAGCCATCTACAGCTCAGGTTATTGTCAATGTGATTGACACAAATGATCACTTTCCACGGATTCGGATTTTGTCGCCTACCGGTTCAAAAACTCTAGAAATAATAGAAGAATCTCCGCCTGGTCAAGATATTGGCATTCTAGATGTTTCTGATGGTGATACAGGGAAAAATGCTGAAGTGAACTGTAACCTAAAAAATCAAACAATTACAGGTGTACTCAGTTTAATTCCAATGAATAATGAAATCATAGGGAAAGAAATGGCACTTGCCAATCGAAAGTACAAGATAACTCTGGAGAAACGTATCGACAGAGAAGAATATCCTTCTATAGAAGTTACCATTTTATGTCGAGATTCTGGAATACCACGTTTAACAAGTACACTAACACAAAGCATAAAAATAATCGATGTAAATGATCATGATCCGATTGCTGAACAAAATGTTTACATGATTGAGGTCATCGAAGATTCAGATCCGCAAAGAAGTAAGGATAACTTTGAATTGATCACTATTCATGCCACAGATAAAGATGAAGGTCAAAATGCAAAGTTACACTTCGCTTTGGATGAAGAGACACCTGTTCACCTATTGAATGTTGTCACAGTCGACTCGAATTCAGGTGTCTTGCGGACACTAGGGAATTTAGATCGTGAACAGTTGAATGCATTTTCTGTGACAGTTGTCTGCGCTGATCATGGGGAACCACAAAGAATGACTAAGGTATTTATCAATGTACGCGTTCTTGACTACAATGATAATTCACCGGCATTTTCTCAACCGTATTTTGAATTTCTCCTGAAGGAAAATAATCCCGTTGGTCAGTTGATAGGTTATTTTGAAGTCACAGATAAAGATATCGGTGAAAATGCTGAACTAGAGATCTATATTGAAGAAAATCTTGAACGATCACAGGTCCATCTGACCGCGTTGAACAATAATTTGAAACTGTCAAGTGATGTAAAACAGCTGAGATTTAACTCGGGTGGTGGTTTAGTCTCCTCGTCGGGGATAAGACAGAGGAAATACACGGATTACAGTTCCAAGTTTAAGCTAAGTTATCAGAAACGTCCCAGGACGAATATTTCCGCTTCAGTTAATGGACCTACACTCTATGATATTCAGTTGTATGCAGAGTCTATAATAGATCGTGAAAGTTTATTTCTAAGGGATGCTGGCGTCTTTCCGCCTGATCTAATACCAAATTACGAATCTTTTGATTCTAGTACTACTACTACTACAACTATTCATAATAACAATAATAATAACAATCTTTATAAGTATACAGAACTATCAAAATTGTCAAGTCAGACAAACTATTCTACAATAACACCAACTATTTTTCTATTAATACGCGCCCAGGATAAAGGCATTCCAAAATTATCTGAACATGTCTCAATACGTGTACATATTTTAGATGACAATGACAATTCACCTCGGTTTTTATATCCTGATTCGTATAGTATCAATAAAACTAAAGTTTACTTATCTTATAAAGAACCAATTGATTATGCTTTTACACAAGTAAGTCCAGTTTCGTATTCTTTTGTTGTTGTTTTTGGTTTTTTTCTAATATTCAATTGTTCAATTTTGTTCCGTATTGTTTTAATTAATATTTAAGTTTGTAATGTGTTAAACTTGTTTTAAAGTTTTAGGCGTCAGAGAGAAAAGTGTTTTAGTTGTCGTTAGTACCGTATGTGTTTCACTAATGTAGTGAAAACTAACCGTTGATACAGGTTTAGAATGATCACTTTGTGGAATATTAGAAAGATCTAAAGTGTCTTTATGTGGTTGTGTTCTCTGAGCTAGATGACTTTTATTTGTAAGGTTTCCATTATCCTCAGTCTAGACAACTTGCTCAGAGCTGAATTCAATATGAAGTCGGGAGATCTACTAAGAGCGTTGTTTTCATTCACGCCACCGGCGGCATCCTAGATGAGCATTTCTTCTCCTTTTCGATACTTGTCACTTGAATGTTCTTGCTTCCTCATAGAGTGATATTGTTCTCAAACGGTAAAGTTGAAGCGATGCGTGCTAGGTTTTATTTGAAAAGTGTAAATATTAACCTGGATAACTTGAAGGGATCATTATTAATTTTTTTATTTATGATTATAGCTTGATTCCACACTGTATTCTTGGTACAGGTATGGGATTTTCAGCATGTGCTATCGGTAGCCCAATTTTTTTTATTTTGCAGGCCGACCATAGTTATCAGGTGTGCGTGGGCATGGGATCGAACCCCGGACCATGTGCATGGTCGGCGAGAGTCATAACCACTGTGCCACCGACGCACAGTCTATACCATTTCGGCCCAATAAAGCCAATCACTGGGGCTTTCCAAAATAGCAGTGTCAAGGAATAACAAACAACAGTTATGTCTACTTCACTCAAATAAATTTAATGACGAATATGCTGTCTTCTTAAAATCTTCCCATTTAAGTACTTAGCGGTTATTGAAAAGTTTTAATTATTAATTTATAAATGAGGGTCAAATCTTTTTATGTAGACCAAATATCAAGAGTTAGGAATTAGCCCCAAATTATGACATTGTACTTATTAGGCATAAGAAACGATTTTATCATTAGTTTAAATCAGCATATTACTCGTTAGTAATAAGTTAATTAAATAACGATTAGTCATCTTAAGAATAAAAAAAGCCAGTGACTCATGCAAAAATAAAAAGCGATGTGAAAAAGTGATAAAAAAGAAGAAGAGGGATATCTAATTATGCACTTTGGAGAATTGAATATCTTGTCATTTTGATTCAATTTGAAATATCCCGTTGACTGAGTGGACCGACGTCCTTGGCATCAGATTGACTCCTTGCTGACTCCTTGTGCAAATGCTTTGACGATGTCTGATCATCATTAAACCTGAAGTAAACTGGTGGGTGGTAACTAGCAGTGGAATCCAGGATAGGATTTATCAGCTGCATGTACCTGCTTTGGAGTGCTGGGTTCAAGCCTCAGTGGAAAAACTAATAGTCACTGGGGAACGCCGTTACATCCAGCTTGTGAGTCCCAAATAGGATGAAATCTACAACCTGGATTCCACTGCTAGCTGGTTGTTAGATTGTTAAAAGTCTGTAATGTTTGAAAGGCAGGAATTTCAGTTCATACATGATTTCAAGTATTTCAGCAGTTTACTTAAAAAGAAACTTTATCTTGCATATAATTGGAAAACTTAGTAATTATCTTGAAAAAAAAACAAAAATGAATTGAAAGTAGGCTGATACTTACAGTGGTTTATAAAGAACTACTTGTGGGTTAAAAGGCCGATGGAATAGTTACTGTTCCATTCCTTTCACTAAAAAGTCACTACTTCAACTGGGTGATTGACTTTCAACTATTGGAACACAAAGAGAAAACGATGCTCTACCTTTCAAGATTCCGGAGAGTATTTCAGTGTCACTGACCATCATGCAACAGGTGTGGTTAGTTGAAGAGCATATAATGACCCTCAGTGATTCCGACCGAGCGATGGCCTGCATTGCGTGCGTTGTCGTTCGACTGCCTCTTAAATGTATGCCCTATCCAACCCCATCTTTCCCCGCATATTTTTTGAGCGATCGGCTCTCGCTTGTTGGTTTGTTCCCATAGTCTCTTTTTGCTTATTCTTTCTGGTAATTCAACCTTCAGTATGGAGCCAGCCAGCGAAGTGATGAGCTGTTTATGAAACTCTATAGCCTGTTGGAAATCCTTTCCGTGACAAGCAGTTCAAGTTTCTGACCCGTATAGAAGAACTGGCTGACTTCATATTTGTGTCGAAGATGCGAATCTTGTTTTTTATGCTGACTGAGTGTAGAAGATTTCCAAACTGGTTTCCAGTTGATGAAGGCATATCTTGCCTTTCCTATTCTGGCTTTTGTATCTCTTCATCCGTTCTAACTGCCTGTGGTTGAAACTGTGCTTCATAGATATGTGAAGGAAGTAACTTCTGTCCAATCTTCCCATTTGATGGTGATTGGTGCTGGTTGCTGTTGGTTGGTTATCTTCATCACTTCCGTATTCACTATATCTACTTGAAGACCTGTCTTTACCGCCTGCCTCTTCAGTCAGCTTGTTGGTTTTCGCCTGCCTGCAATTATCCGAGTTTGTGAGACATTAGACATATATCATCTACAAAATCCAGATCTTCTTTAGTCTTCGTATCGGTCGTCCAGTGTGATCCTAACTCCCCACCCCCAACAGTCCGTTTCATAATCATCGTTGGTGATAATAGGCGGTCAGTCAACTTTTCCTACTCCTGTATTCACTTCAAACGCCTCGCTAAGTTTTCCGTTTTGGATCACCTGACCCATGGCATTAAAGCTGTAGAGTGACACAGCTATTCTTTATTCAATGAAGCTTTGGAAACCTAAATAATAGGTAGCCCTATTTTATCTAAAACATTGTGTTTATAGGCGATTAACTGACTATAAACAGTGCAGTTACTTAATTAGTTACGGTAAACATCGGAATGCAGGATGTCTGCTATTTACTTCTTGTAATATTAATGGAAGTCATACAACTGCATTTGAACACCTGAACTATTGCAGTTGCCTCAGTGACATACTTCTGATACTTTTAAAGGTCCTGCTGAAGGTGATGTGAGCGTTAAAATCAGGCATCAGTCAGCCGAATTCGATGTGACTCTCAGGAGTTAGTGTTACTCATCTTTCAAATAATAATTATTTCTACTCTGATTATCAGTAAACAAAAATGCTTCTGTATTATTTTGTTGTTTGAGCTGAATGGTCATAAAGGTCCTCCTGAGCTGTGGTTGTCCGGCATTATTTTTTGACAAAAAAATACCGGAGGATTGATTCTATGAAGAAAATAAGTAGTGCACTGATAACTGTCGGCGACAAAACGGTAGGACAACAATTTTCTGAGACTTTTGATATTTTGGTGGTATTCAACTATCTAACAATCTTATTATTATTATTGTTCCCTTGGGTTCCTAGTAGAATATAGGGTTTTAACTGCACGTCTCCACTTGCTTCTGTCTTCTGCTGTACTTTTCACCTGCGTCCATGTTAGTCCATACTGTTTCAACTCTTCTTCACACGATCTCCTCCATGTCACCCTTGCACGTCCCACTCGAGGGCCTGAGTCGCGATGTCACCCAAAGGCCTCCTCAGCGAGTGTCCAATCCATCTCCACTTCCTCCTGCATATTTGTTGAGCGATTGGTTCTTGTTTTGTTTGTTCCCATAGTTTCTTGTTGGTGATTCTTTCCGGCCATCTGATCTTGAGTATAGAACGAAGACAGTTGTTGATAAAGGTCTGCAACCTGTTGAAAATATTCTTGGTGACTCGCCAAGTTTCTGATCCGTATAGAACTGACTGACTTGACGTTTGTATTGAAAATCCAAATTTTCTTGTTGATGCTGAGTGACGAAGATTTCCAGATTGGTTTCAGGTTGATAAATGTATTTCTTGCCTTCTCGATTCTCGATTTTCTAACAATCTTATCACATTGTAAATGTTCAAGTTATTTATACTAAAATGTCAAATGTCACTTGAATTGGTTTAGACGAGAGAGTGGTGTGGGGAGCCATGTAACGTACAAAATCTGAACCGCACTATCATTGATATAACATTTATATTGTCCAGAATAAATTTATAAATAAGTAGGTTAATTGAATTACTATATATATATATATATATAGTGTGTTGGTTTGCAGGGAGTTGATTGGTTATAGGATTGATAACGAGCTGGCTGAGTCGGGCAAGAAGACAGTTTCTCGCCCGTGAAATTCGCTGGCGGTTGCTCTAAATATATATATCACGAATCGCCAGAAGTTGGAATTCAGGGACCATTGGCTCGGATTCCAATGAATGAATGGTCTACCAGCTTGCCTCATAACCGGAAGGTTGTGGCTTCGAACCACAATGGCGGCGTATCACTGAAGAGTCCCAAATCAGGCTGATGAAACAGTTATCCAGTAGTCTCATGTTTGCACCATGAAGGTGAGGCACCTCGGATGTTGGCCACATTGCAAATTTGACTAAGGGAATTCAGTCTGCACCACTGTAATGTGCACCAAATGTGTATGCACATTATTCTAGTTACTAACTAGTGTTTAAGCAAAGTACCCAATACTTTCGTACAGTAGGCCAGTCGTGAGGCCGAATAGCTCAGTGGCAACGTTTCTGACTGAGACATTTGGTGACGTAGGTTCGAATCTCGGAAGATACATGATTTCTCTCAAGGTTTCTGATATTCCTTTCTGACTCTTGAGTGCCAGAAAGCAAGAAATTTAGATTTAAGGCTTTCTGTCGATTGCCTCTAACCATCTAATATCAAAAATGATACAACCCCTTCGATTAAAAAATAAATGGGGTTGGATTTACTCATAAAACATGAAACATGGTTTAAATAGATTAACTGAAAGGGATCAGTCAGTTTTGCATTTGTTTACCTTGCTTGTCGATATAATGAATGGCTTTCATAACTCTTAGTAAATCAATTTTATATTAATAAAACTTAACTAATTGTGTGATCAGGTTGTGGATAATTGATTTATCTGTAAATTACCGC